GTTCCTGCTAGCGAGCTGGTCATGAGGGCACAGGGCAATGTTTATCATCTTAAGGTGAGGGATTTTTTCTGTATCTTTTTTAGTAGCTGATTGGTAGTACCTTGCTTCTTTCGTACAAAATCCGCATCTGCTTATGAATGAAGTGCAAAGCAATAACTAAAAATACGAGCATATATTATAAAGCTTCCTTTAGTGTGTAGCTTTGTCCCTTCATAGTCTGTAAAACTGTACTTGAGTTATGTACCGCATAGTCCCAACAGGTAAAACTAATGCCATTTTCGGAGATACTAGAAACCAAGCAGCTCCATAGCTCAACTGTACTCGCAGTCTCTGAAGTGTAATTTTCAAACCTGCAGCATACTTAATTTGTGCTGTAGTTTCACTTGCTGTCTCTTTCCTTTTTCAGTGTTTTACATGCTCTACCTGCCGGAATCGCCTGGTCCCAGGAGATCGGTTTCACTACATCAATGGCAGTTTATTTTGTGAACATGATAGACCTACAGCTCTCATCAATGGCCATTTGAATTCACTTCAGAGTAATCCACTACTGCCAGACCAGAAGGTGAATACTCAACAATTACTAATAAGCTTTATTAGAGCTAAATGAAGATCAATTTCTTTTCAGTCTAATAGTGGACACTCCCCACCTCCCCATGGGGTCCTTTAAATAACTGAACTTAACGTAGTTAACTTAGGCATGGAGTATGGGGAGAAAATACTAACCCTTTAAACTTGACGTATAGGATGAGTCAGTTTATTTAGGTTTGGGCATGCGGATCTGTATAGCCGTTGAAATCCTTATATATAGAAGTGGAATGGAGAACATACGCTCATACAAATTGTCTTAACAAAGAGAAGCATTTTATTTTATAATTTTATAACTTAGAAATTAAGGGCTAGAAGAGAGCAGGTTACTATGGAAGGAAAATTAGATCCTTTAATGTGGAAATAAATGTCTTGTGAAGAGAAGGTTCCTGAATTAAGCCAATGCATTTCACTTTAATATTAAGGTTGTAGTTGAGGAAACATGCTGGGGGACCCTTACAGAAGTATTTTCTTGTCTGTTCTTGTATGTCATAACGCAAATTTAAAAACCAAATTCTTACTTTCTTATCACTCCATAGCACTAATAGCTCAACTAGAAATCGTACATCTCTGTGCTTGGTAGTTCTTGGTTTCTAGTTAAATGAATAAATTAGGAGTGTACAAATCATACAGAGAAGAAGAAGAAAACATTTCTGATCAACAGTTGTCCTGTAACTCTGAAACTAGATAGTTTTAGATCTGTTTTAATCTCCTTAATAAGTCCTAAAGCTATGCAAGTGAGTGCATTTTGATAACTGCTGTGCCTAATTTGTAACAATTACTGTCAACCTTGAGTTAAGAGACTGTTCATTCCACCCTGGTCCAGAAAAGAGTGAATGTATGACTCTTGCACATAATTTTATTCACATCATATTTCATACTGATTATGTATTGATGACATTGATTCATTTACTCTTTACAGCGCCACTTGCATGGATATTAAATCTTATTGACCACAGATGAATTTTAATTTCAGATTGGTGATAGATTTTTCCATCAGCTCTGATAGTATATTTGACTTTTTCATCATTAACCCAGGCAATCACACAGCACTGAGTTATTGCAATGAAACAAAAAGTGCACACTTCAGTTGGTAATTCTTTATAGATTTACAATAGGAACTTCATTAATGTCTGTAAGGATCACAAAAAATAACATTTATCTGCAAATAAGAATTTGGAAGATTAAAAAAATCTGGGACAAATGCTAGGCTTATCTATTCTGTAATGTTTTTATTGAATAATTTTTAATGCTTTTTACATAGTGGATAAATACGTACAAGAAAGTACAAACTGGTTTTTAATTTCCGTGATTTTTTGTTGTTGTGTTGCTACATTTCAATATCCATGTTTGCTTTTTTTCTGTGCATAAATTTACTGATTAATTTTAAGTATTCTTTCAAGTCTTATACAGTGAATGTAATTACATCAAAATAAAGCATGGACCTTTTTTATTTACTTAATTTGTCATTTGAGGTGACGAGAGAGTTGAGTACAAAAGTCATATAGTTAGGCAGAACAAAGATAATTAAGATTGGAGGAGAATGTGCAGCCTCTCCTCAAGGAAGTACAAATACAGTTAAAGATTCATAGATTTATACTGTTGTGAATTTTAATGAAACAAATCTGTAATACAGAGTAGCTAGCAGTGAATCTGTTAAATGAATATTTGTCGGTATCCCATTTCAAAATACAGGTAAAACCATTCATCTTTATACACTGCAGTAAAAAGTTTACCCTTCTGAGAGAGTGGTTTATCCACTTGTCTTCTATGAATGTAAAGTTTAATGTGACTTCAAATAGGTGTCTAAATTGTCATTTAGTTTTATCAGTTTCTTACTGTGCCTTAGCAAAACATAAAAATGATTTAGTTTCAATAAAAGCAGTAGACATGATGAGGAACACAGAACATGGAAAGGAGGAGTAAAATTGGACCAGGCTTGCAGAGCTCACAATTGCAGATAGCTAGTAGTAGAAGCTAAATGCAGAGGAAGCAGTAAGCTCTGTCACTGACTATTAACTGCGTTGCTACAGTCCGTGATGAGGCAGAGGAAGAGGTATTAAGGAGAAGACTGGGGAAAGATATTATAGCTTTTGTTTTTCGTTTTATAATCTCTCTCTAGCACATGGTGTAAGTCCTCCTACCAGTTTTCAGAGGGAAATTGGGGAGCACCTGACCCCCAGAAAACTGAAGTACAATTGAGGAAACAAGTTGGTAAATGTTGGTTTGTCAGGTTTCTGGAGTTTTGGAAACTAAAAGGGCAGGTGCCAAAAAAGCAGTGTTTTGTGTGATGGCTTTTTAACAATGTGAGGATGTAAACATCAGAAACGTTTTCCAGAAAGCTGTGTGTTTTAGGGCCGCTAATTAAAAATGTTCTTCCACTTTGACAGAGTTGACTGTAATAGATGCAATACTCTTTATTAAACATTAAAGCTCAATCAGTCTCCAGGTTATTCTGCCACTAGAGGTTATAAACATAGCAGAATATTCACAAGGTTTTTTATTAAGCTCAGGAGATTGAGACGTACTCCACATTAAAAACTTTTTTTGTTGCTTTTATGAGGGGGACAGTTTTGAACTCACTCTTGTGTTTATATAGTTTCCAAGTAAACGGATCTTGGTGACTGGTGCAGGTATAAAGGGCTGAGCAACCTAACTTCATTTAAAAGGTTGATTTTCTTTTAAAGAGGCAAACGCAGTAGTGTTGGCTATTCCAAGGTGGCCTTTTGCTTCCTTGAGTCAATTCATATATTTAAATTATAACTTCTCATCACTTGCTGTGTATTTTGAAAGAAAAAACATTATCTAAACTTGGTGCTGCTTGCCTTGCAGAATGCAAACCCTTAGCGCTAGTTTGTGATGTCCTGTGTGCCAGGATGTTTGGAAGGGGTTGTATTGTCTTCTGTAGGGAATTCTCTGGTTTTTGGCAGTGGTTGTATTTCAGGAGTTCTTACTTGCAGCAGTATTACCAGCTACTAAAAGTGTAAATTTTCCACTGGTTGGCAATGTTCACAGCAAAAGGTGATCTTCATCTTCTGTACTTTTAAATAAAGTGTGAGTTAGATTACATCTCTTAGAGAAGATCTTAAAAATCTTCTAGTTTACATATCATTCAACAATTCCCTTGTAGTTACATAATTGGTGTTGTCTGTGTCCGTAGTAGAAGATATTTGATGCTCATTTATTAAATATGCTTGCTGGCTGCTCCCTAATCTTTGTTCTGGACAGACAAATTACCTTTCTCACACTGAGCTTCAGCTCTGGGGAATTAAACCTCCAAGCCTCTACTACTTTAATTAGCTTGAAAGTGGGGGGTTGCAGTTACTAATAGACCTCAGGCTTTTAGTAAGTTAGAGAAAGGGTGAAAAAAGAACTTCCTGGGAAGCGCAAAATGTCATTTAAAAACCATAAAAATCTAATATATATTATTTCATTTTGGTAATTGCAAACAGATTGTATTTGAAGACTATGGATGATCATTTCTACTTTATCCACGAAAGTTTAGATTTTTATTGAGTTAGACACTTTTAATTATCACAATTCATTAACACCAGTGTGAAAGCACATGTTTGACTTCATATATTAAAATGTTTATGTAACATTAACTAACACACCAGATGAGGAATTTTAAATGGGGGGAAAAAATCCTGAAATATCTATATTTAGCTCTTGTGCAATGCAGCATATTAGCCAAAGTTGCCTTGGGAGGATATTGGCTGTACTTCTTATTTGCTTTACACATTATTTCTTCCAATTACAAGATCATGTTACTAGCTTCTTCAAAGGCATGGCATAATGTTTCTTCCCCTTTAAAAGGGGCCCAGAAAAACCACCTTATTCACTGTACAATTTGCTACCAGACAGTACGCTTGTTTATTGTTGTCGTCTTTTTTTTTTTTTTTTCTCCTGTCTGCTCTTTTTAGTGAAACTGCAGAAAATGTTTGCTTTTTGCTGTTTGGAGCTGAAACATTGGTAGTATGAATGGATAGTGTAAAAAAACCTTAATCAAGTCACAGTTGGAAAGTAATCTAATAAAAAAGAGATTCGTGAATAAGGAAAAGGCAAAAGCAGTCATGTTGTAGTTTCCTATCTCAAATTTAGCATTTTAGCTAAGATACCCATTTTTATTTCTTACAGGTCTGCTAAAAGGTCAGAGTAATGCAGAATGCGTGCCTTCATCTCAAATTTTGTTCATCACAGATGGATCCCATGTCTCCAAGTAGACAAGTCACCTTTGTAGCTAGCATCAGTGCCAGCTCCATGCCATTGCACCTTCTTTATTCTTGATTGCCCTTCCCACATTTATTGGTGTATTAAAATGACTGAATATGAACCTAATTAAAAGAAGCTTTGAAATCTGCTTTCTACCCTCATTAACAATTAGCAGGGCACTGGCCAGAGTTTGTACCCTGTGTTTTACCTTAACAACATTCTCTTTGCTCTTTGTATATTTAAGTGTTGTAAGGAAATGTGTTTCAATCAAACTGAACATGAGATAAAGGAAAGATGTGGCTTTTGTGATATTCTATCACAAACACTTTTATTGTATCTCTGTAAAATACAATGTATGTATGCATGTAAGTGTTTTTGTCCTAATGTTGCTACTTCCCATGGCAAAAAAAAAAAAAAAGAGAAAAAAGAAAAAAAAAGTCAGGCTCATAGCAGCTACTGTGTAGAAATTTTCACCTACTTCTAATTTGCTGAATGAAGAAAAATCTTTTATTTGTGATATTTTCAGAGACATTTGCTCTAGTATGGTGTATTTAAATAATAAAAAAGTAAAACAAAAACTGAATTGAGTATGGGTTTTAGCAGTTCTGTGTTTTTTTTTTAAACTACATTCAAAACAATACTCTGAAACTAAACTTTATGTAGTGATTACCCTTAAAAGTAGCTTTTTGGTTTGGAGATTTTTGTTTGCTTGTTTTATAGCAGTAAAGAATCTATTAAACTACTTAACCATGTCACTCTTGGATACAGAGCACTGTTTCAAAGTGATCTTCATTTTTCATTGAGATTCTTAATTCTCATAACAGCAAATATATCATAATTCATCTTGCAGTGAATTGTGCTACGTTTATAGGTATTGTGATCTCTTTCCATCCCGTTTGTTTTCGCAGAATGCTCTCTGTAGAGGTGTGCACGTGTCTCTGAGTGTGCAAGCATGAGTGTGTATGTGCATACCTAAGAGGTCAAAAAATGAATTAATGCAACAAGAGGTCTGTACCTTGTGCTGAGCATCAGAAGTCAGTGTTCACAGAAAGTAATACAATAGCTATTCTGATTGAAACAACATAAAGTTGTGTTTGCTGTCGTAAGAGATGTAACTTTCTAATACTGGTGATCTTAAGGAAAGAAAAGAATTTCTTGGACTGTTTCTGAGAACCAACTGATCTCAAATATGATCTGTTCTCCAGAAAAAAACCAACCCCCTCAACACTACGAAACCTCCTCTATGTTTAGAAAAAGAGGAAGTTCATCTACTGGGTTTTCCCCTTCAGGTACTGACGGATAGATCAGTGCATAAGAATTTTGAGAAAAAATCCTGACTTTTCACATTTGTAGCAAGCATATTAAATGAATATGACCATGTAGAGTATGCTTTTGGTCAGGAAATGGCAAGCACCTAGAAGGTGCCTGTGCTGCAATGCATAACAAATCAATATTAGCAACTATTCTACTTTCATAGGAGACTAATAAATTTGAAATACATTGTCATTATATTTTCTTTTTTAATTCTGTTTTCAATAAGGTGTTCGCTGTTTAGCTTGCCTGGTTCCAGAGTGAGCTTGACTTATTTTTGTTGTGATGCTGATACACAAAAAGCTGATTTATAGATTTGTCTGTCTAAACAACCAACAGCAAGATTCTTTTCAGATCCTACTTCTTGACCTCTAGTATATTGGAGGTCTGCTGAATTTCTGCTTTTAACACTTCAGTGCTCGGGAAAAAACAGGACTGTCGCAGAGAAAAGAAAATGACTTAATGTACAGTATCGAACATAAAAGACAAAAGATTGTTTGCATGACATATGCAGTCATAATACTGAAGCTATGTACAACTTTTTAAATTAAATGCAGTCACAGAATTTTTTAAAGACGTTTCTAAGCTTTTTGATGTGGCATTAAAGTCTTCAGGTAGAGTCCTCCAAATTGTGCTGTTTGAATTTCTTTGAAAACACACTTGAAGTCATATGAATATGGCATCTAAGCATTAGTGAGACTGTAGACACCTTTTTATATTCTTTCAGAATAAGTACTCAAGGTACAGTATTTAAATCTAACTTGTATGGATTTTTGGTTGTCCAATATAACCTAGAAGTGCTAAGAAGATAGTTAATAACTTCTAGTAAGTAATGTAGTATAGCATTTAGTGATGTAGAGGTTGAAGTTCATTAAAGGCTTTAAATAAACTATTATAGGACTCGTTTGTAAAGCACAGCTACCTATTTAATAGCTTACTTTAAAAGCATTTCTTAAGTTGCAGACCTATAAGATTACAAATGTCACTCATGTTAGCATAATCCACATGCAAGTGATGAAGCCTTTGCTTTGATGTGCTAAATTGGAGGAGGACTAATGGAGCTATGAATATACAATAGAATATATTTAAGTAGTAGTCTTGCTTTAGGTAAAATGCTTTCTTGAAACCAGAGGCATTTCAGATGAAAAACCAGGCTCTAACGGAGATGTTAGGTGTGGATAGAAGGCTACTAGACACACTTAGATTTGTCCTTATGTGAAAAATCACTTTTTTTTTAAACTGTGAGGAAAAACATGCACTTGTTCACCTTTTATCACATGTGTTTGCTACACTGAATCTGAAATACATCCTTCTGCATTTAGTGCTGCTGAAAAGTCACACAAATAATCGTTCAGTAAGAGCTTCCCTCACTTTCAAAAATGAATGCTGTTAAAAAAAAAATCAAAGGAAATATTACTAATCTGAAATCATCCTAGTGAACCTGGATAAAGTGCATTGTCTGTACTGCATCTAAACGTCTCAATCATATAAATTGTCACTCTTATTAATGAAACAATTTTGTAAAAAGATTGCCCTCTAAATGGGTTTAATGTTTTTACCTATCCAGCTGTCTAGTTATGAGATTTACGCATCCTGGCAGGCAGTGGGACATTAAGCCTTTCCAAACCAAATTCTGTTTGCAACAAGATACTGTCTTTTCAGTCCTACATGATTTATCTTTAAATATTTTAACAGGTTATGCAGTATCTTATGAAATACAAAATGAGAATGTCTTACCAAAATGAAGCCTATGAAATTAAGTCACATCTTTAGAATATTAACCACGCTGAGTTTCTCTCCCGGTTTTGCTGTTAGTTAACACTGATAAAATTTGCATCATCCAATTTTAAGGTATATGCTAAAAAAAAATCAGATACTTGTGTGGTGTGACTTGATATCCAGTACTGTCAAGCATTTCAAAAGACCATTTTAGTTTTAAAATTTTTGTCGAATTCTTTGGCCAGTAGGTACATATCAGAAGTACAGCTCTTTGCAAGGATCTGTGTTCTGACCGGCTCTGTTAGACTAACGTACAAAATTGAGATTGGGACATCTATGCATAGAGTGTTTAAGTATGAAATTGCTTTAGTGTGAAATGGTGTGTGCTAGGTGTAATTTCACTACCTGAGCCTACAGCACATGCAGCACCACGTAACCATCCTGGCTGCTTGTTGCTTTTGAGTACCAGGTGTGTGCCTATTGTCAGGCCAGCTAAGCCACAGAAAAGCTTATTGCAATTAAATAGCAATTTGTTTCTATGAAACTGCAATTAAAGTATTACTGATCAGCCATTTTAGATTGGCAGTGCCTTGGCTGCATGCTAAGCAGCGAGGAGCTCTCATTTTATTCCCGCGGCGAGCGACGGCGGGGCGCAGCCCGCTCACCCGCGTCCCTCGGCGAGCGCGAGCGCGGGGCCGGGTCCCCGCCGGAGCCGCCGGGTCCCTGCCGGACCGCGCCAGAGCGGCCGCCAGCCAGGGCTGAGCGCCACGAGCCGCCGG